CGTATGTGGAACAAAGAGAAAATGATGTGTCTCTGCAAGTCATCTAGGAGTCTTTGGTGAAATCATAAATAAATAACTATTTTGATAAAAACAAATAAACAAATAATCAATTTATGTAGATATTAGTACTTTAAATATAAATTTCATGCAGAAGGATTATTGAGAAAAGTAGGTAAGTAATGACAATGGAAAAGATCTGCAACATTTTCACAACACGCATCTATGTAGGGCATTTTCTGGGGGGTTGGGGGTCTAGGGCACCCGGGGGGGCTTATTTCATGGGCCTCACCATGGTCGGCTCCCCCTATCCCCTCTCGCATTTAGATATTAAGGGTTCTGGGCTGTCGATTGGGGGGTTGCACTGGCACCGCCTGTCTCCCAGAGGGGGGGTGGACTGTGCTTGTTGGAATAATTAAGATTCTTAATGTTTGTTCTTATTATGTATAATGTGTGACATACGACTGTTCCAGAGGGGTGTTGCACAAGCAGTATAGGTCAACTCATAGGAAGTGTTGCTCAAGCTTAACGAAACCAACCGTTCTCGTACCATTTGACCGCAAGACATTTAAATGCAAATTGACCTGTTCACTGATGCTGCATATTGAATTGTCTATCTTGTTTCCCTTTACTTTAGTTAACCTCAGTTTGTGTAACTAGAGACCCCGCTGACTTTAATAAATAGCGAGGAGAAAGTTCAAGACCAGCAGAGTAAAAAGAATTCTGACTCTGTGCCTTTCTTTCCTTGTTTTGCAGTGTTTTAGGTGTTAGACCTGACTGTGCCGGACACCCCCTTTTGGTACTCCCAGTTTTAATTACACCTGAGAGCAACACGCAACAACATCACATCTGAGCAGGCGTAGGGAGCATCTGGGTCTTCTCACACCCCTGTTCCCTGGCTGCCGCCTGGAGTCGTGGGCCTGGAAGAAGAGCGAGCCGCCTGGTCCGTGGTCTTGGCGGGGCGCTGCTGCGGGGCCTGGGTGGCCTGCCGGTGGCGGGGCTATCACTTCTGCTCTCCCCAAAGGAGGTTGGAGGGAGGGGCGTGTAGTGGCTGGGAAAATTAATTAGGTGGGATGGGGTCGGAGCAGGAATGAGATGGGTATGTGTGGCGGTGTCACCGCTCATCCCCCACCATTAGGATTTTAGGTTCACTTATTGGGTCATCCAATAATCCCGGGACCAACCATCGGTGCCGCCAGGTCTTTGGTCC